CTCACAAGTGTTAATTAGATTGCATTTATATTCTTGTACACTTTACATATCCATTTACATTTTTACAAAGTATTAGAGTAGCCTTTTATCTAGTTTGGCCTATTGGGCTCATATTAGCGGCCTGGTCCACATTTCATATATAGCTTGAAACCATAAACTCATATTCACACATGCACATTCATAATCCCTTCTAAATTGTATACATGATTTTGATAGATCGTAGTTGTTGATCAAGTTCCAAGAACAGTCAATTTTATTAAACAAGCATATTTGAGTCAGTTATATTAAGTCCCGTAATAGAAATCATACATTGTCAACCTTGTTTGAGAATAGTCGGTTCAGTTTCTTAGTTCTTTTTCTATAAAGATAAATAACATTACATTAGCATAGTAGCCAGTAACAACATTTTCAAACTAAATACGGAGTAAAAAATAACGTCACATAAAAATTAGAAATAAAAGTCTAAAACAAAATTTGAAATTTCCAACAAAAAGTCTCATAGCAAGTCTACAAGCTAAATGTCACTACACATAAATGCCTAAGAGATAAAAATTAAAGCATACTTAATCTCTAACTGTAAGTAAAACTAGAATGGTTAAATAAATTTGATTAAGGAAAATCTACACTTCAAATGAGAAATTGAGGACAATGATTTAAAACCCTATATGAACTTTGAAACTCTTAGTAATGGACTCAAAGGTTTGAACTCAACTCATAGGTTCTTTTTTAGAGCCTTTCCTAAAATACATAAACATGAACGATTTTAGTATTTTAAATATAATGGAGCTAATTAATATTTCGTATCTTTTTTTTATTGAAGACATATTTGGTTCCAATTTTTTTAAAACTCTCTGCACCCACTGAGTTGATTTTTCTTAAATTAATTAGAATCAGGTCCTAAATCATAGCTAATCCATATCATCTAAACCAGACTGTGATTCTTATACCCGTTCATTTGTCCACCTTAATTTTGGATGTTCTCTTTCAGATTGTTTTCAATCCCAGACCAGACTTTCATAGTTACAAAATATACAGAGACCGAACATTTACCAGACCAGACAAGTTCAGACCATACCAGATCAGATCCGACCAGCAAATTTTAATCCAAAAGAAAACATCCTTTACCCGCATTTCTTCTCCCAATTTCTTCTCTTCTCTTTCTTTTCTATTTTCCAAATTTATTTGTTTTTCTTATTTTTTCAGTTCACCTCTTGAATTAAACACTTTTATAAAAATAACTTTGCATAATCATGTTTTATTAGATATGTTTTCCTTTAGAAATAGCATTTTTTATTACACCATTTATGTCTTCCATATATGTTGCAAACAATGTGTGAATGTGTGAGCGCCTACTTTATTTTTCTTCAATTTGAGTAATTTACATGATGGCAGTGTCACAAAGAAAAGTTTGATTGACAAAGTGAATAAGCTGTTTTCAACTTTTCATATTAATAGAACTAGTAAATCACCCGTGCGATGCACGGCCGGTGAATTTCTATCCCATTTCTTCTCCTTTCAAATTATTTTCAAAACAATCGCCACAAAAGATTTATTGACAATAATACAAAAATTTTGGTGATAAGTTACATAGTACACAATTCACGATCAGCCACAGTAATAAAATAATAAAGCACACCAAAATAATTCTACAATGACCTATAGGCATTTGTTAAAAACATAATGAAATGCAACGCTACACGTTATTGAAAACTTCCTTATAAACAACATTTTGAGTGTCATTCGCGGTCTTGCCGCTGTCCATGCGTGAACACGGGTTTCCTCAACAACAAACCCACACGGGACAACGATTGGCCCTGACTTTTATTAATAGTCATAGCATATGAAATCATAATGGGGTATTGTCGCCTCTGAAATTTGAAAGGCAAGTTTGCATCAGAGGTAGTCAAGCAAAACTGAGGAATCAACACTCTGAACCTAGTACAACACCCGTGCAATACACGGTTGGTGAAATTTCATCTGTAAAATTTTAGTCAAATTAGAAATAAAAATCAAATTTTTAATTTCAATTGAATAGTTTAGAATTATATAATAATACAATTTGACATAAAATGAAATATACTCCCTCCGTTTCATCGAAAGGTTCTCGGTTCCTGTTTAGGACGCCCTGTATAAAGGATCTCGTTTTCATTTTAAAAGCAATTAACATTCTTAAATGACATATTAATCACTAACTATTAAAAATAATACATTTCTAATATCACATTTACCAACACTAATCTCATTATAATATATATCTATTAAAATTTTTCTCGCTATAAACTCGAACTACCTGATCATTCAATTGTTGTTTTAATAACCGTGTCATTTTGTCATATGAAACTTTCAACGTGACAATGGTAGTACTTATTACAACTCCACAAAATGGTAACACAAAGTATAAAAATAATATGAAAAACGTTTGGTTATTGAAATCGCCAATCTTTTAACAAATAAATCGTTCCAAAAAGCAGTGCGTTGAGGATGAAATGTCGAATCCAAACAACCCCATAATATTCCATTCAATAAATTATGAAACACTTCTTTATATAGAAATTCCTGATATCAGTGTATGTTCCTCTGTCATCATTTGCAATGTATTTTTGTATGCTCGAAGATTGGTTACTTTAAACGCAATTGCATAAAGTTAATCAGGACTAAAACATGTTTTTTCAATAACAAAAAAAGACGCGGCAATGATTGTCTTTATTTATTTTTATTTATAGTCATCTTTAGGTATTATTGCTTCCGAAATTGGAATGATAAGCTAACATCTGAAATTGGTAATGAATGTTTGGGAATTGGCAGTTTCTGTCTCACACTAACCCCTTTTAAAATTCTTTCTTCTAATAGTAATTTACCCGCACGGTACACAAATGATTTTGTAAAAGAATTTCCCTTTTCAAAAGTAATTTAATTGAAGGTAAACTATTTTAGCAAATAAGTAACAGGGTTATACGAATTGCATTGTTTTAACGAATTGCCGGGGTAACACAGGCAGATCAGGGGGGGTGCAAATATGTGGAAATGGGTAACCATATTTGACATCTTGTGAGCATGGGCATGGCCTAACCAAGTTCCGGGGGCCTTGCATTTTAACAGGCTTTCCATTATTAGTCCATTGCTGTTAGAAAGTCTGAGGCCCAATAAAATGCATCCCTCACCACTCGGCTCCTCATTAGTCCATTCCATAGGAAAACCAAACCCTTCATTCATGTGGCTGACTAAGACATTCTCTCCATCCCGGCCACTACAAAGAAATTCAAAATTCCCTAACTTAAAGCCGACTAAAGCAAGTAGCGCAGCGGGATTTCTCTAATCATTGTCTGTCAATGGTCTGCCAAAACCTGGAACCTCCAGCGACGAAGACATCGATGGTCCGTAGTAGGTCGCCGACTAATGTCGTATATATTGATTTACATGATAACGGTAAAGTCACAACCCCCCACTATACAGTAGTGAAACCACCCGTCGTAGTGAGGCTACAGATCAGGTAGTTCCGTCGATATTGTTGATTACATCTTTTCTTCAGACGTTTCAATTTTTTATATTTTCTGTCAATGAACTTTATGTTTGATTATATTTTATCTACATAAAACATACATCTTCAAAAAAGTTTTTATTTGAAAATTTAATAACACACAAAAAGTCTATTGATGAGAGTCATGTATATGCGTTTATCAAAATTATTTGTATTGTACCGTCGATGCACTGTAGTACTGTACCGTTGTCCTTAAAATTTCGTTCTTTACTCAACTTTCCTACTCTCTATGCCAGCATGGATTGCACACCACTTTTGCGGTCCATGAAATTTTACTTCTTATAATTATTTTATTTCTTTATCTTTTTCACTATTTCTCTTGAACTTTTTTTATGTTGATGCTTTTAAGCGGGAATCCTGTAGCAAAAAACATTTTGCTTTTAGATATTAATAGGTAGATAGCTTATATTCAAATTTCACATTAAGTGACAATGACAATAAATCCAGAGTAAAGAGTGAGTGAACCATCCAATACCAAGAAACCCCCTCTTATCTCCCACCAGTCTTATCAGTCAACTTTTTCACCAAACACGTAACTTTTGCTTTCGCGCGCTGAATTGTGTAATAAGCAGAAAAAGTAAGGTTGGAGTTACTTTTCTGGCTGTATTGGCTGAAGTTACAGTAGATGATCATTTTAGCTATTTTTACATATATTTTTTTCTTTATTTTATTAATAAAATATATATTACAAATAATTTTTCTTAAATCAGCAGAATAAACCAATGCAGGCACTTCAGCCAGAAATTCATAAATTTTAGCAGAATCAGCCAAATAAGCCGATTTTCGTGCTACCAAACTGGCTCTTAGTGTTACCAAACGGGCTCTTTATGATGTTCTGGCTAAAGCAACTGAGTTGGCTGAATAAGCTGATTTATGAAGAAAAGAATTTTATTAATAAAATAGAAATAGAAATAACTATATGAAAAATAGCTTAATAGTTCTCTTCTACATTATTCAACCGATTCAGCCAGAAAAGTAACTTAACGTCATTTGATTTTTACACAATTTAGTACACGAAAAAATTACGTCCTTTTTATAGAGTTATGTTTATGATGTTTTTATTTGGACTGTTTTCATTCATAGACCAAATCAGACCAGACTTACATAGTTACAAAATACACAAAGATGAGACATTTACCAAATTAGACCAGTTAGAATCACAAAATTTTAGTCTAATTAAAAACATTCTAGTTGTATCACTAAATTTATTAGTAACATTATACATATTATGAACTTGGACATTTAATTAGCCCTTTAAATTTTTTAAACACATAATTTTAATTTTTTAAAACACAAACCAAATGATGAATCCAATAAAATAAAATAAAATATACGTAGTAAATGAAAATGAAACAAAGGATTACAACATTAGTGAATTCGGCCAAGCCCATAGAAGAGAAAACAAAACACAACAATTAAAGAGCATCCGCCAGCAACTTGGGCCAAGATCGGCCTGTCTAAGCAGTCATATGCATCCAAAGTTAAAAGTTTGGGCATATTTAGTCGCCCTAGGTTCTGGATTCTTCGTCTTTAGAGAGAGATAGCCATTTGAGTGGTTGTTGCAGGAGAGTTCTCCATGCTCATCCCTTATCTGGCGTCCGTGAAGAAGATGGAACCCTTCAGACCAACATAGTATGCGTTTTTGGTGTCGGTGGGGAGTTCGGCGACTGAGTATTGGGCGATGTGGTTCAGACGGAGTCCTATTTGTGCAAGATGGTGTGCGACTTTGTTCACCTCGTGTGATCGAAACAAAAAGGAGATTCCGCTTTGTAGTCTGTGCTGTTGGAGCCTGTTTATCTCCGGAGAGAGGTATCCCAGAGTGTTTATTTTCCCGTCTAGCATTTTCGTTCTTCGTTTGTACTTGGGAGTCTTTGTAACCTGCTTGTATCATGTATGTTGTCGAGAATTCTGTCGCAGTTGTATCACGCTTTGAGGGGGTTGAGAGTTCGGGTCGGGAAGGAGATGGCGAGCTGGAAGGACGCAGTAGAAATGCGAAGTATTGCACCTTCGGCGCTTCTCCTCTTGCTGTGTGCCTCGTCTGTGTTGAGACAGGGTGTTTGTGGTGAGTGAGTTTGCCATTTGATGATCTTTGGTGCTTCTTTTATCTGTATTTATGGCATGAATCCGTCACAATGTAGATCTGCGTCATAATTGATGAATTTCTTTGATCAAGTTACTGCTGTATACATATATTCTGATCCCCTAAATTAGAGCAAGTAAACTTAATCGTAAGTACCTTTGAAGTTTGAACTAATTTAATTGTTTTACCTTCATTATTGAAAACACAAACAAAAATGAATTATAGGATATAAAATGTTTTCCTGTATTTAAGGAGAAAAATTAACTAACGAATTTATTTCTCTTTACCATACACATATATCAACTATAAGCAAAAGATCAATAAAGTCTTGCTGTAAGCTTTTGTATATCTCAATGCTCTCCCTCAGAGATTGTTTTCAGAAAATCAATATTCATTTAAACCAAAATATGCATGCTTTCAAAAGGAACTAAATTTGACATTTCTTTTAGCAAGTGCTATTTTATCATCTCTGTTTTCTTAATTTTGTTGAGAACATTGGGTTATGCATACAACAGCATTCAAAAGTTTTTGGGGTCGACCAACATGGATCGATACAGAATATGGTAACCAAAAGATTTTGGGTTATACATAAATAAGCTTATAATCTTCCAATTTTGCATTAGTTGCATCATTGCTCTAGTTCCCGACTTTTTCTTTGTTGTTCTTTCTTCTTGAAGATGATAGGTGCCAAGAAATAGTAGGAAGCTTTGACCTTGACACCTCTTCTGCTTATGCTCCATCCAGTTGTAATCCCTTTTGCTTTCTCATTATATCAGGTCAGGTATTGTACTTTTTAATGAGGAGCTACTTGTATGGAATATGAATATATATGTGCATGTTGGGATGACACTTTTTCAATGTTGCAGGTTAGAAATGAAGAGTAAGAGAAGAGGTTGAACAATGGTGTGGGTTAGTTGCTTGGAAAGAGTAGTATTTATAGAGAAGTGAATAATCTTCTTATAAAGAAAATACACACCCTAAGAGCAGGCTGGCCAGAATGGATGGGTTTTGTTTTTTACAAAGCTGGCCTATATATTTTATAGATATCGTATGCGCATACTACGTATGAATGTGGTGCTGTAACATTGGTATGCCTGCTTTTATAACAGCAAAATGGGCATGCCAATCCTACCCCAACAGTGTACAGTATTCTTCAACCAATCAGAATTGTTTTTGGATCTGGGGGGAAAAATTGATTTTCAAAATTTGAATTCAAAATAGTTACAACAAAGCAAAACCAATAATTGACCCTATCTCTTAAGCACATATAACCTTTCTTCCGTATGTTGACCGCTCAGCAACTAAACGGTCCAATAAAAATGAAGCACGGTCTGTGGCAAATCCCAATTAAATCTGTACAGTGTCTCAAACGCCCTCCTCCACTCATTTCTTGCACATAAGTTCCCTAACTTTCCGATTTTTTCACACAGAACCTCTTAGCCAATAATCTAATATTGCACATTAGACACACATCTGAAAGTGACGTTTTTGAGGGGGAAATTCTAGCCCAAAGTTATTTTGCTTTTAGATTATAATAGATATTAGAATGTATATTTGGATCTATTGACACATTGAGATACATGGAGCCTTATTCAATCTAATGTCAACGCTCCTATTACTCTATTAGTGTCTGCTATTGAAATGTGCAGAAAAATCTTGGTCTTTTCATCTTGATCAAAGGCCAAAATAGACAGACATCATGCCCATCTCCGGGGTGCAGAGAAGCCATGTCTATCTCTATTTGACAAATTCATCAAATTTTCTTCGAAACAATAAATAGCGAGGTTATTTTGTACTACGTACATAATAAGTAACACAATTAAACTACAAGGTTCCGTTGGTACTTAAACGCTGACTTCCCAATAGTACAAAATTCATTTAACAAAACATATACTACGCATCAGTTACAAAAACGCTATACAGTTGAAGAAAGTGAATATAGGTGTGGCCCAATGACAACTTAGATGGATGTGGGGAGTACGATCTGTCCTGACCATATTCTTTCATCAGTTTCATGATTGCTCAGAAACTGCGCATAGATCTAACCAAATTGCACATTTCCTTACGTCCCACATGAGAGAAGCTGGGAGAAAAACAGCTGAAAGCAAGGAGTGTTGTCGAAGGCAGCATTTCAAACAAGGTGTAATGGCGCACACAACTTGTCCTGAAGAACATATTAGTCCATGGCAAAAAGGGTCTTCTGTGTCAATAGCCATAGCGGTCATTCAAAGAGGTCCGCCCATCACCGGATTGTCCTGGTTTAATCATTAATTATGTCAAGGAAAGATAAAAATACAAATATAGCATAAACATGGAACCGAATATTAGCAAGCATCTGTTTGTAGCAGATTATCTTCGCATATATAAATTTTAACTTCAAGAATTGCTATCAAACAATAAGTATATAAAATTTACTATTAGATTTGATATCAAACAATACCTTATTTGAAATGCTGGCTGAATTAGCCGATAAGGCAATTATAGCAAAAAACAACACTTCTGGCTGAAATGGCAGGAAATGACATTTTTACCCTCTCTTCATATACTCCGTAATCCGTATTACTTTCTGTAATTTCATTAAAAAAACTTCATCCCAAATTAATCTTGCTACTTGTTTTTTTACATGCCTATAAAGAAAATTGTGTTTGGGTAGGAGGCATTTATCTAGAAAAGGAAAGAAACAATAGCGATCATTCATTTCTTTCTTTAGAAGAAAATAAGACGATAAACTGTAGAGGCGGAGTGGGCAAAGGAAAGAGGGAAGATTTATTTGGTAAGGTGGGAGTAACTTTTCAATTAGAGCCTTTTAGTAATGGTTGTTAGACGGGAATAGCTTAATCATCCGAAAGGAAAAGGGATCGCGGGAATCCATTTCAGCCAAATAAGTCAAAAGCTACTTATGGATTATTCTGTGGAGATTAACGCTACCAAATGGGATCTTGTTCCTGCCATAAACTGTAAAGATGAAAAATAGAACTTTTACCTTCAGGGGGAACCCAGGTTTCATAGCCTACTCCACTTCCCAAAAACGGTGGCCTATCGGGACCAACAACTTTTTTAGGCTTTTTCTTATTCTTCTCCACGGGACTGTCACATGGTACCTTGTCATTGACATGCCCATTGTCATCATCATCAGAAGCATGATATCCTCTTGAATGTTTTAACAACAGGGCAACAGCTTCCTCAGCCTTCATGTCGACTCCAGAAGATTGTGTCTCATCTTTAGCAAATTCATTGGAGGCAGCACCAAGCTTGTCTTGTTTCCGCTTCCTTATTATAAGACCAGGGGCTGCATTTTCAATCACTGATGCCTCTGTGTTTTTCACTATCCTCTCCCTGTCTTTGTAGTCCACAAATTGATCATCCTCTTGTTGCACATCTGGACGTGACTCTACCACCGCAGTTTCTTTCCTTTTCTCTTCCTCAACAGCTCCGAGCCACTGTGGCTTAGCAATGGTGTACTCAACAGTTTTATTGCCACCATCTGCTGCAGTTTCCTCTTTCATATTCTCTTTGCTGGATTCAGAAATAACAACAATACCCTCTTTCTTGATTGAGGGGATCGGCTTCTCTGCACGTCTTTGACTCTGTTTTGCAGGAAGATGCGGGACATTAGATGGGTTGACTTTGGGCAGTTCAGTCTTCGGCTCCTGAGATTTTATCTCCCTCTTTCTAGCAGCTTCTCCTGATGGATCAGCAATCTTCAGCAAGTAGAGTATCCTATCTAGCTCTGATTGAAGTGCAGACAGTTCCTTGTGCAGCCGATCCTTCTTCTCATAATCTGATATTTTAAAAATATCACAGCCAGTAAAATAGAGTAACAGGACAGCCACAACATGAGTATCAGGGAGGTAATATTAAGGGTATTTTAGATCTTAGAATATGCTAAGAAATTTGAGAGAAAATATGGAAATAAACAAAATGTAAAGGAAAAACAACGTCGTTTAACAACTAATATATCTATATGTGCGTGACTTTTATAAAAAATAATCCATTTTTATTTTCCTTCACATTTGTAGGATACAGGCAAACATAATAATTTCCCTAAGCAATTTTTAGGGAAAATTTCCCTAAGCAGTTATTCCTCCCTTTCGTTAGAATTCCTGACATCCAAGCCTGAAAGAAGCATAATTATCATGAAAATCATAAAGAAATAGGCTGATACAAAGAGAACAATAAATAAAAAATAATTGTCCATGCAAGTGAGCCTGCTGAGTGCTAATATGTTCCCTTTCAGAGAAACAAAATGAAATGTACCTGCATGTTGGAATACAATGATACAAACAAAGAACGTACCAATGTACTTACTACATACCTAGTTGAGATGAAAGCCCTGACATGAATAAATCGAGGTCGTCACCAGCTTCAAGGCTCTCCTTCACTTCACCGGTATCATTATCCTCTGAAAGTAACAGCTTTCTTTTTTCTTCCATCTCACTGACTAAAGCATCCTTCTTATCTAGGAGAGAATCTGCAGTTTCAATTGATTGGTTTTCACCACTCTTTTTCTTAGCAGATTTCTTTGTCCGATCATAGAACTCATCATCATCACTGACCGGTCAAAATACCATGTTTGTTAATACATCAATAGATCAAATGAACATATAACTGATATCAAGTACAATAGAGCAATAGATCACATAACAAAAAGTCTACAAGTCCTACAACAATGAAGAGTTTCATGTATTTAATACCTCACATACTCTTCTTCTTCATCTACTCCTTTTTTCTTTCCAAGAGACACTCTTCCAGCACGTGCACCCAGACTCTCTCGAATGCTTTCATTTAAAGTCTCTTCCAAGTTTTCTAGCTCCTCCATTATCTATTGAGAAAGAAATATCAATGCTGGAGAGTCAGAATAAGTCCTGGTTTTATGAGAATCGGTAATAATTTCATATTGTGCATCTTGGCTAGTAATTTAGGAAGCTAGGGGGGAATTTCTTAATATGTTTCAGTTCCTGTCCTGAACTAATGAAGGGAAGTTGAAGCCACTAGGCTAATTGATGTAATACTAAAAATGAAATGTAATCTTCTAAAGGACTTTGTTAAGTTTAGCAAAAAAGAGCAATTAAAAAAGGTTCTCATAGAGGAGAGGGGACATTCTCAAGGATCCTAATTAACGCATGAGTCTTCATAATATTACTATTAGTTCCCTATTATTAGTATTACTAATTACTAATAGTTTCATATTTGTATTAATATTTTGTTTTAGTTAATATTTCTATCAGCAATATTGTATTATACTAGGAATATATTTATAAAATTTACGTGCTCGCAAGACTTTGTGAATGGTATAAAGAGGTTTGTCTTCATCTATGATCATTAATCAATAATATCGTACAATTCTAGGATAAATTACATATATCAGTATCAATACCTGTGAGATCCTCTGTTCATTCCGAGCAATCTGCGTTTGTTGTCCCTGTGTCAGTCCACCTTGAGCAATGTCCTTTGCTCTGATAGCATCTATCTCCTTTTTCATATGAGCAATCTAGAAACAAACAAAAAAGATTGAACACCTAGTGTAAGCAAAAGACTACTTCAAGTGTAACATTCAAAGACACATCATATAAAGAAACATAAGAATAAAGACACACCATCTGAAGCAATAAAAGGCCTCACATATGCCGTCAATCATCAATGCAGTTAAGTGTACTTTAAGGACTGGTGTAATGTTAAACCAGCTTGATTCAAAAATAAACATGGAAGCTAACAGGAGCAGTTACCTTTTCAAGTCTCTTTATTACTTTATCACGTGTTTTCTCCTGCTTCTCCGTTAATTGACCCTTGTATGTTTGCCAAGTTATTTCTTCAATTTCATCCTGAAACATCAGATGTATCTAGCATTATTTCAATTAAGTGCAAAACGCTTCTGAGGAACTTTGTACCGAATAGTAAAATCTGCACAAGAAATGTTACAATGAATTTTACACCTAACTGAGTGATGAAGTTGAATGTAGCATTGCAAACGCCAAACGGATCAAACACAAAATGGAGAAAATTAATAAATGACATTAACTAATAAAAGTGAGGAAAAAACTGGCATATACAGAAAACTATATGGTGCATGTAGAAGTATTTAAAGGGAAGTAAACCAGCATTAAGCTGCTTTAGAATAGCAATTAAACAGCCTCCAAGAGTTGAAGGGTTGTATGTCTTTGGTATTTCTACATTTCTGATGTTCT